GCCGCTCGCGTCGAGATGTGCTCACCCGAAGTTTTCCGCTTGCAAGACAAGGTACAGTGGAAGGAGAGCGCTGTCGAAGCATACTGCAAGTTCTTATCTGCATATTGGTAAGTTTTACTCTAAAAATTTTTCGTTTAGTCAATATATACAGCTTCAGGTTCCCAAATCACTCCTTGTCTACCCGGTGTCTCGACTGTGACTTTGAGGAATTCAGCTGCATAGCAACCCGTGTCCTTATTGATAAATACAGAAGTCAAGAACTGGATCGTGCCTTTATGTGCTATGCGAGATTGTTGCACGTAAAGCATCATATGTCCTTGGACAGAGGGACCATTCTATCTGTAAGTCAGGTAAAACACTTCACAAAACATCAACCGTTCAAGTGTAGTCATCTAATTCGAGATTTTCGCAGCTTGCTGGCACATTTTGCCTTGTACAGTGGGACGAGCAATGGATCACTTTTCTTCCACAAACTGTACTGCGTTTGTCGAAGGATTAGTATCAGTTTATTTTAGAAGTTCTGCCTCTTTCCGAAATTCAACCCACGATTATATAACGCTTTTCAGAAATGGTCATGGTGGGCGTGATGAGTTGTCGTACAGCTAACAAAATCTGTCAGTTATGTGTGGATTTCTAAAGGCTTTTGAAGAAAAAATATATTGGGCCATCAATTTTGAGAAACCACTCAAAATGAAGATTAGAGAGATAGCGCAAACAATGATCATTATGTAGTAATCGAGGTCCAATGAGTTTTGTACACAGAAAATTGAAAAATTCATACAGAGTGTCTCATAAAAATGTGCTACTGTTGGCTGTAAATTACTCTATCGTCATAAAGTCTTTGGAGAAGCTTTAGGTACCATTTTGTAAAGCCAAGTTCAACTTAGATATATACATATAATAGGAACATCACGAAATGCTCATTCCTACTGTAGGATTACGGTAGGATTCTAAACTCGTTTTTAGCCTTTCACAGCCGAAAACGCTTGCAAAAACCATTCCATTTGAAGGAGTTTGCACTAAGTTTTTCAAGTTTTTCAAAGATGCTGATTTTTATTGAAAATCTCCATAAGCATCAGCGCTTATAGAAATTTCAATGTGAACTTCAGAATTTGAAAAGGTTGCAAGCATATTTTGGCTGCAAAGGGCTAAAAAAGAGTTCAAAGTTTCTACCGTAGTCCAACAGTAGGAATGAGAATCAGGGGTTTGCTCAATATTGTAGCTCCATGTTGAAGACAGCTTTACATAGTGGTACCTAAAGCTTCTCCAGAAGCCTTCTCCAGTGGCAGGGGAGTTATTGGCATCTAAGAGTAGACACATTTTTGAGACACCCTAAATTATTTGCTTTCTTTGGGCAAGCAAACGCGATTTTTTCATTTTTCAAAAATATTTTCCCGCTGCTAACGGCTGGCCAGTTTCAGACATCAATCCTCCTAGGCAAGTTATACTTATGTATAGATCAAACATATTACGTTTGTTTATGACAAAAACACGCATCGCGTTTTTTGTATAAGTGTTTTGGAGTCAAATGATATTCATACAGAGAATTTTGAGCTTGAAGTTTCAAATAAATTCTGATAAGCATTTTGTAGCATAGACTCATCAATGAAATCAAAGCAAAAAAGAATTCTTCCTTTTTGTTGTGTCCTTTTGCTGTACAAAGCTAGTGATGAACAAAATGAAAATACGAGAACATAAAAAAATACTTGAAAGAGTTATTAAGTGAAGTAAGCGATGATTGTATAACAATCATTTGTCTTGTGGAAAGGGCGCATCTTTTGCAGCAACTAGTACTTTGTTTACCATGTTTCCTTTCTGAAAGTGCATACACAACTCATCGCTCGAGGCATAGAAGTATACAGGATTTTTTGTTAAATTTTGTTACTTTGTTGTTTTTGAGTATATGTTTATAGTATGTTTTTGAGTATATGTACAAGTATCTGCAGTTGTTCACACTCTACATTCTCTCTACATTGTTCATTCTCTACATTCTGAAGCTTAATGGTGCAATAAATTTCATAACTGGAACAATGTATTGCACCTATGATCCACGATAGAACAGTTTGATGCATTGTAAATTGTGTAGTTATTAGCAACGTGGCATTGCGAGCAATTTATAAGACAAAGCAGAGTTGTAAAAAGTGCAAGGTCCAAATTCCGCCCATTTGCGGAAGGTGAGCTCTTCCAAAACGGATGCTTCGCCTCCGACGTTTTTCGGCGCCGAAAGCAGGCCTCGGTAGTGATCCATATAGGTTTTGATAAAATATAACAAGATAGAACGAGATGGCGCAGAAATAGGCGGTGCTATGAGTTGTAGCGTGAAATTCTCAAGATGTAACTTGAGCTAGCTTATCAGTCGCAACTCGTCCACGTTCACCAAACGGTGCAAGCCTTCAATCAGAATCATCTCAGCTGTCCATCTCGGATCAGCGCAGGTGCAGCCGCTATGCGCGAATTTCTGGAAAATTGGTTTGAAGAAAATTGCGCACACTGTCATCAAGTCAGACCGGTCCGCAGATAAGCTGAAAGATCTCAGTAGTAAGTCACTGCTCATTCTGTAATAATGCAAAGTGTTTTGGGGAAGGTGTCTTGCCAGTTTCAGACTTTGCATGTCCCTCTTTCAATCTTTTCGGTAAGATGAGCCCGCACGCTATTTGAAATATTGAATGCCTTTTTTGCTTCGAAACTCGAATGCATATGACCGCATCCGTTTCATTCAGAGCTGGATCTTGATATTCTACTAGGCTTAGCGTCGTCTTTCACATAGATAGCAAAATGCTGTTGTCTTAGGGTATCTACTGGAAGATCATCGGAGGACGGGGAATTTAAGGTTGAAGTGTGCCAAAAAATGTCTTCTAATAATCTGAATAGTCAGGCTAATGTTGGGGTCTGATCGGGAGTGGGAAGAACCATAGATGAGGTACAGCACGAAGCATGTTTACATATGTACTTTCAAACCATATATCCATAAGTGAGAATTTTCGAGCAAACACACTCATGAGTAAAAGCACAGATTGTGTTATATCAATAGCTTAATAGCACTACAACGAAGGGAATTTAATTCTGAAGTTTCGTAAATTGTTACGTCTGCTTATTGAACAGAAGACATGTTTCACAAACTACACATTCATTCGTAAAGTTAGTTGCTTTGCAGGCGACGATAGAACAGCGAATTTATGTTTGAATGTGTGATTTAACAGTCGCACGCGTTGCTGCCATTTCAGACAATAGATCCCATCGGTGGGTCGTAAGATTCCTGAAGCTAGAGCTTTGCCAGTTTACGATGCAATTTTGCGGGGCTCTGGCACATGATTGGGGATGCCTAGGCTCCAGCCAAAGTGGTCGGGCTCGGTATACTGCAATGTAATGTTACGTTAGGTATACCATAGATACCATAGATAAGGCAGTGGCGGACCGAGGCCCGAGAATGGGTCGCGAAGTTTTTAATTACTTATAAATCTTAGAAATTACTTATATGGGTTATGAAAATGCGCAAGTGATTTGTTTATTTTTGTAAGCAATTAAAATAAGTTTTAAAAAATTTTAAAATTCAAATTAGCCTTATATAAAAAAAATTTTTCGGGGGCGTGCCTGACGCCACGCCCCCTTTTCCCGGATTTTGGGGGTTGGGGACCCGCAAAAATTCTGAGAAGCACCCCAACAATTTTATCGGAGTGCGTGGCTAACGCCACGCACCTTCATTGGAAAAAATTTTTTGCCGCGCCCACCCCCCTCCCCCGGTCCGAAATCCTGGGACCGCCACTGAGATAAGGCACAGACTTTAGCGCAAATTCTTGCAGAGTGATGCTGTTTCTGAACGTTTAAGCGTACATGCACGAGAAAATGGGCCGGACAAGAGTCTTACTCTAGCTTATCAAAAAATACCGGCTTTATGGATTTTTTTGATCTTTTGCACTGTTCGCCCTAAAGCTGAAAGTTTACACATATAATTTTTTTGTGGCATGCTGATTGGGAAAATGTTAGTCTTGAGTACTAATACCGCCTTCTTACATCAGTTCCTTAATTTTCACGAAAATTTCACCGTAGTGCTGCGGTAGCCCCACTGTGGACAGTAGTGAACAAACTGTACATTGTAGTCGTGATCAGCACGTGATATACCCCAAGGTACAGCCATTTTCAACACTTTCACACATCTCTATGACACCACCAACTTTTCTTGTTCCTCATACGATCTTTTTTGACCTCCTTACCCCCCAGAAATCTGATTGAACGTTGAAGCACAATTTGCGCTATTTTCAAAAGTATTATCTCGAAATGCCATATGATTTTCTTAAGAATGGGAAAGCTATTGGGACCGGTGAGGGGGGGGGGGGGGGATTCCGATGGTAGGAACGTGGCCCTAGACAGAACTGGAGACTCCAGGGCTTCGAAACATCTTGTCTTGCTTTGGTTTCGATTTACAATCCCTACTTCCGACAAGGTGAGAGATTGCACTAGCATATCCAGAGACATAAAAAACCAGGGTCGGTGGTAACTGGTCGAAACTCCGAGTTCAAAGGCAGCGGCTCGGCAGAATGACAACTTTGGGATAGCCATCGTTCTCGGTTCCCCTGGATGAGCTAAGTCCAAGACTGTGCTTTGCAGCTTCAAAAGATATCAATAACCCGCTTTTCCAGACTTGAAAAGTGCTAATTGTGCGGACCGCGTAAGCCCGCGCTCTAGAGCGCATTGGCTCATGAGTACGGTGGGTAGTATCTCCGCTCACGAACCAATCGCGCTCTAAAGCGCAGGCTTACGCGGTCCGCCCAAATAGCGCTTAGTAAGATCCGGGCCCGAAAGATATTTCTCTTTGCTAGTAGGCGATACACAGTGGTAATACATGGTTTACTAGACTTACAGATAGAATGGTCCCTCTGTCCAAGGACATATGATGCTTTACGTGCAACAATCTCGCATAGCACATAAAGGCACGATCCAGTTCTTGACTTCTGTATTTATCAATAAGGACACGGGTTGCTATGCAGCTGAATTCCTCAAAGTCACAGTCGAGACACCGGGTAGACAAGGAGTGATTTGGGAACCTGAAGCTGTATATATTGACTAAACGAAAAATTTTTAGAGTAAAACTTACCAATATGCAGATAAGAACTTGCAGTATGCTTCGACAGCGCTCTCCTTCCTGTACCTTGCGGCCCAGGCTCGTCGACGGAACGATTGCATTTTGGTTTCGCGCCCATTCCAGGGCCATCCTCCAAAACGGCACCTTCTCAAGGGATTCCTGATGGCCTAACAGGAATTGCCCATGTCTGCATCGGGTGAGGGCGACGTTCATCCGTCGGGGATCCCCCAGAAATTCCGCTCCCTCCGGATTAAAGTGCGTCTTCGTTGTCAAGACGATCACGACGTTCTTTTCCCTTCCCTGAACGGTGTCCACAGTGGAGAGGTTTACGCCGACTCTCGTGACGAATTCCTCCAGGCGCCTGTATTGGTCCTTGTAGAAAGTAATGACGACGATGTCACTCGGTGCCACTCCTTTCCTGACGAGCGTGGTAACCAAAAACTCGCATACCATCTTCTCCCTTTCGTTATAATGCGAGTGGGAGGCTGACTGCACCGACGTTCCGTTGACGTCCACGAACATGAACGGTAAGTGAGGGTTCGGGAAATCCATGATGTCCAATAACTGGTGTCTGTCTGCTGCGGTCACACCGCTTACCAACGAGCCTTCATAGCACAGAGTATTGGGGAGATCGATGAGCGCCGGGTGCGCTCGAAAGGTGGTGATGAGGCTGCGCATCGGAACGGCTCGCGCTCTTTGGAGGACGTTCATGATACTCTGTGCGCCGAGTCTGGCGGGGTTGGACAGTCTCGAAGAGCGAGCATACGGCTCTAACTGATGGATGTCACCAATGTATATGTGCCGGGCCCGCGGGATTCGCGCCGCCATTGCCATAAACACCGGTTCTGGAACTTGCGATGCTTCGTCGCATATGATGAGATCGAACTTGTCGAGGTAACCCTTGAACAGACCGTCCGTGTCCGTAGTATTGAGCAACGATGCTGTTGTGATACAGACAATCTTGGGGTCCATGCGACGGAACATGATATCCACCATGTCTTGTAAATTTCGCGAGACGTCCCTTTCCGCCAGCATGAAGTCTTCCCTTTCTTGATCCGTCAGGTCGATGCGTCGCTCCCTCTTGTACCTTTCGTATCGTATTCGTCCCTGCGTGAAGGTCCGGCACGTCTCCTTCTCCCTCGTGAGCTGTCTTTGGAACACCGTTCCGATCATCTTCAAGATTTCAGGAAGGTCCACGGCGGTTGTCGGCGCGTCCGTGTCGAAAGCGATGGCTTCTGCTACGAAGCGAGTCACCCCAACCTGCTGCGCCTCCCCGAATTCGAGGATGGTGTTCGCAAACTGGGCTACGGCGGTATTGGTGGAGGCGGTGATGATGACCCGTTGTCCAGCGAGAGCTTGGCGTATGGCCACGCAGGCGCCAACAACCGTTTTGCCTGTTCCAAACGCAGCCTGAATTGCTATTAGTGGATATTTGCTGTTTCCCAGTGCCAGTGCTTCCTGCTGATCGCGCGTTAGCTCCAATCGGCGGCCGTGCAGAGTTATCGAGTCGATGAGTGGTTCGTCTTCATCTCGTTCCGCTTCTTTGGCCGTTTTACATCCTAGTTCCTGTGCTCCGTATGCGATGTCAACTACGCTAACGTCGGCTCCGCCTTCCTCCAAGTCCTTGAATATCTCCATTCTGGAGACTGACTCGAACGCCGGGTTGGCGTTTGCCGGAGTTCGGCCTAGCTTGACGAAAAGATCCAAAAATGCGGTGTTTCCCACTCTGCGGCCGACGTCTCTGATGGCGTTCCTCAGCACCTGCTCCATCTGTGAGTAAGTGGCAAGGGTCACTCGAAGCTCTCTGGTTTCTTCTTGGAACTCAGCTTCATCTACCTCAAGTTTGGTGAACCACCAGACGTCCATGATCCACACTCCCACGGGACGATGTTTCGTCCATCCCTCCATTGATGACATGTCTTGCAGTGTGAGCTGCAGTTGGAGCGGATGTGACGATACCGACGGAACCGTAGCGGTGACTCTGTGTGTTCTGTTGTCATCGTCCAGGTTCTGAAGTGCTACTAGTGCAGCGCACGCCATACTGAAAACTTTACTCATCCTGCGGAGTGCTTGAGGGTGGTTGTTGACAAAGTTGTTGAATTCCCCGGTTCGGTCGAAGAACCAGTCGATATCTTCTTGACGTGCCTTCCTAACCTTCATGGGAACCATGCCTTCGTCGGGGTGGGCTGGACAGAAGTGCTCGACTTGACGACGGAGCCAGTCCCGTGCGGTTTTCGATGCGGGTGGCTCGGAGAATCTGACTGCGCAGGAAACGTTCTTCCGGCTCTGTGCTATTAGGATTTCATCCTCCTGAACATCCGGCCATTCGAACTCACAGATAGATTTAGTGATGGTCACAGCCTCTGGGACTCCTTCTAGCGCCATCTTGAAGTTGTTAACGGTCTCGCCTCTGCGGGTCAACTTGAGCACAACACCTAAGTGAGGCTGGGTCCAGACGGCTGGTGTCACAAAAGCAAACACTGCGGCCCGGAAGAAAAACTGGGTATTCGTTTCGAGTGCTGCTGTCCGAGGTATCCTGGCCAGCTGGAGACAACGCGCCGGCGACCGTACGGCTGCGATGGTTGGTGCGACTTCATAGACCCACACAAAATCTTTGACGGATATCAAATGCCTGTCGTAACCGTAAGTATTATTTTCGATATTCAGGGAAAATCGGTCGAGCAGGATACAATGAAGTTCGAGTCTATCCGGCATGAAGACAAAGAAATCTTTAGCTTCGATTACCAGGCTGTTAGATCCTATGGCTGCTATCTGGTACAATACTGGATAACTTCCTTTGAGTTTGGGCGGCAAGAGGATCGACGAACGAACATCTTTGGGTGCCATCGTCCTTTCTTGTTGTACCAGCTCGCCATCTCCTCGTAAGGTAGCTTCTAGTACTCTTTGAGCCTTGTCTCGGAATATGACAGCATCTTCGAGGTTGGAGAATTCGATGAAGGCCAAGGGTGCTCGCACCGTTTTCAGATTAGGTGGTGTCCGCGGGAACAGGGAGTGGACGAATCGAATTGCGGCATAGCCCAAGTGTGGTACATGGCGATACACGTCCACTGGTAAATCGTTGGATATCTGTTGCTCTGCGATTTCATCGCGGCGAATCTGGCGGGGGCGTACGTGGCGTGCCCATGGATGATGGTTGACCAGGTAGTGCCAGAAGTCGTCCGGGCTTCGTGGTGGCAATGCCGCGTCTCGAGGTTCCAACATAGGACGCTTAAAAGGTTTTTGTTTGGATTTGAAGGGAAAAGGACGCTTGTTGGTTAGCACTTGCTCTGGTACCTGGAGTGGGCTGCGGTCTCTCCGTATTCGTTGTCTTGGCGGTGCTGGTTGCTGAAGCGGTTCTGGTACTGGCTGGTTGCTTGGACCTGGACCCGGATCAGACATCTGCGAAGTTCCTTGCTGCGGAGGAGGGGGAGGGGTAGTTGTTGGTTGTTGTATCGGATTCACTATCTGTGGAGTGCCACTACGTGGCTGAGGTGTCTGGGCACCTGTAATGTCACAAGAACTAGAGAATGTTGATGTAAGAGAAATTGTATCTATATTGAGTGGTGACTCACACATCGCTTGTATCTCTGGATCGCTGGCTAGCAGGTCCTCTGAGGCCAAGGACGGTGTCGGTGTTGATTCGGCGGGGGGTGCCGAAGGCCTATCTGTTGTTGCCATTCCATGGCTGCTATCCCCGGAACTGTCGGTGGAATTGCCGTCCCGGGGGGCGTCCGCAGAACTCGATGAGTCGCTGGGCGAACGGTGGAATATGAACGGGAACATAATAGTCGTGAGCGCTAGTTACAGTGAGCGCTATCTGAAACAAGGTTTTTGAGTGTGCTATGTGGGACGTAAGGAAGAGTTGAACGGACGAATAGTGTGCACGTGCGGTTAGGAGACATGGCTAAACTGTAACTAGGTGCAAACTAAGGAACTTGTGAACTGAGGAACTAAGTGTAACAAAGGAGGAGAGTGTTTGCGAGAATAAACTTGTTGGTGAGGAACTGAAGGAATAAAATGCATTGAAGGCAGTTGATGTGACGCTTCCTCCCTGCGGGATCTAAATAGACTGAAGGCGTGCTCTAAAACGTGTGTTGTACGGGTGCCCTGGAACGAGTGTCAAATTTGGTTTCAATACCTGACTCTTTATCGCGTGCGTGTGTCCCACAATCTCAGCCGTCCTTGCTTCAGCTTGGGCTAGGGCTGCTTGTTCATCCTCAGGTTGCCATGGTGTGGTGAATACTGGGCCTGAAAGTTCAAAACAACGTTTTACCTGATTCATGTGTACTCGCTTAGCTGGCGTTTGTGGGGCTGAAATGCTGGTGACAATTAGGTGGGGGTGTTGAATCTCAATCACTCGAAATTGTCCCAGCCACGGGTATTGCAATTTAGGAGAGATTCCTAAACGAGGATTGAAGTCCTTAAGATAAACTCTGTCCCCTACTTTAATTTCTAATGGTTGTAAATTACTCTTATCGTATTGGTGTTTGATTTGCGCTGCCCGTTTCTTGTTAAATTCTGAAGCCGTTTGCCAAGCTTGATGCAGGGTAGCTACCAGGTTCTGGACGTAGGTACGTGTTTCCACATCAACTGGTATGTGATTGTAAGCCTGATGTTGTATCATAAGGTCAATATTGAACACCGGATCTCGACCAAACATCAAGAAAAAAGGCGAATTATTGGTGCTGGAGTGAATTGTGGTATTGTACATAAATGCGCATGCTGGTACGAAAGCATCCCAATTTTCAATAGATTCGTTAACATATATGCGCATCATAGGGTGAAATGTGGCAAACACGCGTTCGCAGGCTCCGTCTCCCTCATGGTGATAAGGCGTTGTGTAGTATTTGTCGATGCGCAGTAGCTTACCCAGTTCCGTAATGACTTCCCCCCGAAAATAGGGCGCATTGTCTGAGATTAGTTGCGTCATAACACCGTATTGTAAGATACAGTTGTTCATGATTGCCTGCGCTACCGTAACCGCTTTGCAATTTGGAAGTGGCACAGCTATGACATATTTAGAAAAGTGGTCAATCATGGCTAATATATATCGGTTACCTGAATTAGATGTGTGGAAGGGTCCCGTGAGGTCCATATGAACTTTGTCGAATATCGCGCCGCTCGTTACCGGGAGAAGGTCTTCCCGATTTCGCAAACGTTCCCGCTTTCGCTGGCATTGATCACAGGATCGTACCAGCTGATAAACGTCTTCCTTAATGCTAGGCCAAAAATATTTTCGGGAGATTTTGGCTAGTGTTTTACGCCAGGAAAAGTGTCCCCCGGCCGAGGGACTTTCATGCAGAGCCAAGAAGACCGGTTCTCTCAATTTCATAGGTACCACTAATTGAGGTGCGCTATTTGACTTGCCTTTTGTGGAGGGATAATGGTACAGGCAACCATTTTTCCCTATGGTGCATTGATCTGCCAGCGCTAACCAGATAGTCTTGTCTTGATCCTTCGTTAGTTCTGGCAATTTGTTCGTCTCTAAAAAGAATAATATTTTAGAACAGAAATCGTCGGCTTTTTGTTCAATTAAAATGTTATACGGCTGGATGGCCCTTGGCGTAGCTGGTCGTGAAAAGTTCCTTTCTGCAGTAGTTGTTGCCAGACAATACGGGAATTCTATTATGTCTTCATTGTCGGGGAGATTGTCCTGAAACGTTTGCAGTGGATAGGCGATACGTGATAGATAGTCAGCTACCACATTAGATGAGCCCTTCAAATAGTCAATGGTAATATTATAGCTTTGTAGTTCTACGGTCCATCGTGCTAAGTTGTCATGAGTTTTACCGTGCTTAAGTAGATAGGTTAGAGGTCTATGGTCAGAAAGAATATGAGTGAGGTTGCCATATATTATTGGTTTGAAGAAACGTAAGGCGCTTATTATAGCGAACAATTCAATATGAGTGGGACTCCACTTTCTCTGGGTTTCTGAAAGGGTTTTGCTGTAATAGCCTATCACTGCTATGTCTTTATCGCTATCTGTTTGTTGTTGCATCAGTACTGCGCCTATTGCTACTTGGCTTCCATCGGTATGTAGGATGAAGTCTTTATCTTGGGGAAACGCCAAACAAGGTTTCGTGGTAAGGCTGGTTTTGAGGCTTTGGAATGCTTCCTGGTGTTGTTGTGTCCAGCTAAATGGCACTTTTTCTTTGGTCAATTCGTACAGTGGGTTTGCTGTAAGCGCGAAGTGTGGTATAAACTTGCGGAAAAAGTTGGCCATTCCTAAAAATCGTTTCACCTCTTTTGCTGTTTTGGGCTCAGGGCACTCGGTAATTGCCTTGATATTTCTTGCTCCCGGTGAATATGTACCCTTCGTGATTTCATGGCCGAGAAAAGTAATGGAAGATCGCGCGATCTCGGTAAACTTTTTAGCTGATATTTTTATGTCAAACGCGCGGAAGCGCTCGAAGACTTTACGCAAGGATGTGAGATGACTTGGGAAGTCTGTATTGAAGATGACTACGTCATCGATATACGCTAGACAGGTATCCTCTAGACCTGCCAAAATCTTGGACATTGCTCGGCAAAAGTAAGCACCCGCATTGCGCAACCCGAAAGGAAGATAGACGAATTGGTAAACGCCGCGATGGGTCGCCCACCCGCACTTATATTGGCTTTCGGGGGAAAGCAACAACTGCATATAACCCGAGGCCAGGTCTAAGGTTGTGTAGTACCTATTTCCCGCAATTCTGGTGAGGAGATCTTCGATACGTGGCAAAGGGTAGTGATCTGGTACGGTTACCTCATTTAGTGGTCGAAAATCCAAACACACCCTTAAAGATCCGTCCCGTTTCTTCACCAGCACGGTGTTATGAACCCAGGGCGTGTCACTTTCCGTGATCCTGCCTGCCTTAAGAAGCTTTTGGATGTGTAAATCTAATTCTTTCTGAAACTTTACTGGTATGCGTGTCGGTCGAAATTTGGAGGGTGGTACTTCAGTAGTCGTTTGTATATGGATTTGGGAAGCTTGATAAGATCCTAAGTCATATGAGGAAAAAGAAAAGCGATCACTATATTCTTCAAAAAGGTCTAATAACATCTGTTTTTCCGCATCTTCGGCGGCAACGTCAGATAAGTCGACATGAAGACGTGCTTCATCCTGACGCTGGTTCTGCAGAGCGACTTGTACTCCGCTAATTTTAGGTGGGGTGCTAAAAGCACGGTGGAGGGGGGTAGTACCGTTGTTTGTGCCACTCTCATCTCAAAAGATCTTTTGTATCCCCAGCGGTGTTCTCAACATCAGCATGCTGCATTCTCATAGCAAACCCCATTGTGGGGTTTGCTATGAGAATGCAGCATGCTGATGTTGAGAACACCGCTGGGGATACAAAAAGATCTTTTGAGATGAGAGTGGAATTTTGGTCGGTGAGCATGAAAGTTACCTCGTCTGCGTTGGGAACCGAACAGGGCACCAAGGTTTCGGTGGAGGGGGGTAGTACCGTTGTTTGTGCCACTCGGACTGTGGAAATGTTGCCCCCTATCTTCGTACTACAGTCCGGACCGGTGACTATTTGGACCTTTGATTCGCCGCAGTGGAAAGTGCGATTGTGATAATCAATATGCCAGTTGGGAAGGATACTCAAGATATCATTTCCTAGGATAATGTTATAGGACCCGACGAGTTTAGAAATAGCTGCATCTTCAGCAAAGTAGGTGAGGTGACGAACGGTGAAGGATCCGATTTTAAGGTGAAGTAGCTGGCATCCCAAGAGTTTGACTGGCACGCCAGCCATACCAAGTGCGCAAGGAATAGGCGCGGATTGAAAAGAAAATACTCCGAGAAGCGGTGCCATTTCCCTATTGATGATGGTTATTGCTGCCCCTGTGTCTATCAATGCCAGCATGCAAACGTCGTTCACTGTTATGGGGATCTGTGCTACGAAAAACGTGGCTACATGGGGTGTTACAGCCAACACGTTAATAGGGGTTAAAGTGATCTTTGGTGGCCAAGCCTGATCGGCGTCTATTTCGACGCATGCTAGATCGAGATGACGTCTGCCACGTGCCTGGGGCGTTTTATTTCTAAACTCTGGATTTGGAAAGTTCGGCGCTGGGTTAGGCGGCGGAATTGCATCCTCCAATGTGGCCTGATTGGTGTCAGGCGCAGTCGAAAAACGTGCTAGTATGGGGAAGTTAAGCCGCACGTACAAGGCTATTACCCGCTTCACTAGACCGCAGGATACGATGAAGCAGCATACGGCGACCCATATATCAAACCAATTGAGTGTTGGAAAGAGAAGACTGAAAATACGGCCCGTACTCTCTTCGGACTTATCTCTGGCTATCTGAGTTTGGGTCCACGACCCTCTAGATGAGATCAGTTGCTCATGTGACACAGCTTGCCAAAGCTCGGTGAGTTGTCCATCTGCCACTATCTCGCTTAAGTTTGTAAGAATCAAGTTATGAAAAAATAGTAAGGGGCGGCAGCGAGTCCCATCGTGAGATGTTGGGTGGCCATGATATAGTGTCGATAGACTCATCTGCGACTGGATGGATGGTGCCCTGTAATGTATCGAAAGCGAACGTTCCTGTGGCATTAACGAAAAGAAATGGGGTCGATTTGGGACATGGTATTATGGTAGCCTCCCGGGTGATAACCCCGGTACCTGGCTCTAAAAACCCGACCAGTTTTGCGCTTGGTAGGCGTATTGCTATCTTGGGCTTATCATAGCATGAGTCGTTGAAGGGTTGCAGTTGATAACTAGCGGGGGGAACCCTCATACATCGGTGCACTTGAACTATATTTCCGCCCATATATGTAGCTGCGATATCCGAGCGACTGAGTAGTTTGCGGACGACTAGTGTAGGAGAATGCGGTAGACTAG